TTTCCCCGCTGGAGGGCGGGGCCCCATTTCCAACGGCACTTTTTACTGCCATGAAAACATTATGAAAGGGCACTTTTCACTTCCCCAGATGTGACAGCCCGAAATCTGCCAGTCTGGGACGCTATGCTTTCTAGCTTGCAGATTCGGTGCGTTTCGCCAGTGGCTCACGAGCGCTGGGAGGACGGTCTCCTTTCTCCCACCCCTCGAGCCTCCCCTCCGGAGCTCGGGTTTGGAGTGAGAGCAAATATCTCACCTCCAGCTTTTCCGTGGGACCCGCGAGCTTCCCGGATCAGCACACCCACTCCGCGCTGCCCCACTGCTGGTACGTCAGCGATTGTAGCGATGAGTCCATTAGCGAGAGCTCTGCCTGCCTGGTTAGCGCGGGCCAGCTCTTCGCGGTGGCTCATACGCACAATCAGACTCGGCTATGCGATTCAGTTCGCGAAACGGCCCCCCAAGTCACGGGTGTGTATTCACCAGGGTCAGCCCCCTGTCCGCCCCTGTCTTGCGAGAGGAGATTGCTGTCCTCCTGGCGAAGGATGCAATCGAGCCGCTCCCTCCAGCCGAGATGGAGAGCGGGTTTTACAGCCCACGCTTCATCGTGCCCAAAAAGAGCGGTGGGTCACGGCCAATCCTAGATCTGCGCGTTTTGAACCGCTGCCTGCACAAGCTGCCGTTCAGAATGCTCACGCAGAAGCGCATCCTCCGGTGCGTTCGTCCTCTGGGTTGGTCTGCAGCATTAGACCTGATGGACGCGTATTTCCATGTCTCCACTCTTCCTCGCCACCGACAGTTTCTGCGGTTTGCGTTTGAAGGTCGAGCTTGGCAATACAAAGCCCTCCCCTTCGGGCTCTCTCTGTCTCCGCGGGTCCTCACCAAGCCCGCGGAGGGTGCCTCAGCGCCCCTTCGGCTCGCGGGCATCTGCATACTCAATTTCTTTACGACTGGTTGAATTGCCCTCTCTTTTGATTATGCACAGAGTTGATTATGCACAGAGACAAAGTGCTCTGGCACTTCCACCTGTGGGGGTTTCAGGTCAACCGAGAAAAGAGCAAACTCGCCCCCGTGCAGAGGATCTCTTCTCTCGGGCTGGAGCTGGACTCGGTCACCATGGCAGCGCGCCTCTCCGGAGAGCGCGCTCAGCTGATGCTGTACTGTCTGAGAGAGCTCGACAGTAAAATAGTGGTCCCACTGAAACAATTTCAGAGGCTCCTGGGGCATATGGCATCCGCAGCCGCTTCATGCCGCTCGGATTATTCTATATGAGACCACTTCAGCACTGGCTTCACGATCGAGTCCCCAGACGCGCATGGCACGCGCGCGCACACCGAGTCTCTGTTACTGCGCTGTGTCGCCGCGCCCTCAGCCCTTGGAGCGACCCCTCGTTCCTACAGGCCTGGGTGTCTCTAGAACAGGCGTCCAGTCTTGTTGTCGTTTCAGCAGACGCTTCCAACACGGGCTGGGGGGCTGTGCGTTGCGGGCATGCGGCTGCGGACCTGTGGAAAGGTACCCAGTTGCATTGGCATATCGCCTGGAGCTGTTGGCAGTGTTCCCCGCTCTCCACCGTTTTTTTCCGGTGTTGGAGCGGCAACACGTGCTGGTCAGGACGGACAGTACGGCGGCGGTGGCGTATATCAGCCGTATAGGGGGTATGCGCTCTCGCCGCATGTCTCAGCTCGCCCGCCGTCTGCTCCTCTGGAGTCATCCGCGGCTGAAATCGCTGCACGCCATTCATATTCAGGCAAGCTCAACCGTGCAGCCGATGCGCTCTCACGGCAGCCTTGCGTCCTGGAGCATGGAGACTCCACCCCGAGTCTGTTCAGCTGATATGGGCGCGATTCGGGGAAGCCCAGATCGATCTGTTGCTTCCCCCGAGATCGCTCATTGCCAGTTGTTCTTTCCCTGACCGAGTGCTCTCGGCACGGATGCACTGGCTTACAGCTGGCCTCGGGGCACGCGCAATACGCGTTTCCCCCAGTGAGCCTGCTCGCGCAGTTACTGTGCATGGTCAGGGAGGATGAGGAACAGGTTGCTGGTTGCGCCCCTCTGGCTCAACCGGACCTGGATGTCAGAGCTCTCCCTCGCGATAGCCCTCCCCTGGCAGTCCCTTCGAGAGAGCACCTACTCTCTCAGGGACAGGGCACCACCTGGCACCCTCGCCGATCTTTGAAGAGATTTTAGACGCGAGGAAGACTTAGGTAACCTCCGATTGCGGTGGCTAATACCGTCACTCGGGCTAGAGCCCCCTCCCCGAGCGCGCCTATGCCCTGACGTGAAGTCTATTCACTGAATGCCCCCGTAATTTGCCAGATCAGCGTTGTGCTTTCTTTACGCCGAGAGAAGTTGGAGAGCAGGCTGTCGCCCTCCACACTCAAGGTTACGTGGCTGCCATCTCCGCTCTCATAACGCGGTGGCTGGCAGCACCGTGGGAACGCATAACCTCATCATCCGGTTCCTCAGGGGCGTTAAGCGAATTAATCCACCCCGCCCCCTCTCATGCCCTCTTAGGATCTCGCCCTCGCGTCAGATCCCTTCGATCCTCGACTCAGTATATTTCTGTCCCTGAAGACAGCTCTGCTGGTCGCGTTGATATCGATTAGAGGGTCGGGGACCCGGAGGCATTTTTCGGTCAGTGACTCGTGCCTGTAATTGGGCTGGCTTCTCTCACGTATGAGACCCCGCCCGCGATATGTGCCCAAGGTTCCTACCACTCCGTTTTAATACGAGGTAGTGAGCCTGCAAGCGCTGCCCTCGGAGGAGGCAGACCCAGCCCTTATTTATTGTCCAGTTCGCGTTTTGCGTATTATCCGGACCGCACTCAGAGTTTAGATCATCTGAGCAGCTCTTCGTCTGTTATAGCGGTCGGCAGCAGGGAAGTGCCGTACCGAAATAAGTTCCCACTAGATTGTGGATGCCTTTCTTTCACTATCAGAGCCGAGATGAGCCGCGTCCCCCGAGAGCGCGTGCGCACTCCACTCGGAGCTTCGCATCCTCTCGAGCGCGCGCACGCGGCGCCCCTCTAACAGACATCTGTAGAGCTGCGGGCTGGGTGACACCCAACACATTTGCAAGGTTTTACAATCTGCGAGTGGAGCCGGTTTCCTCAAGGGTATTAGGTAACCCTTGGTGATTGAGGAAACAATTCGGTAGGGTGTTGAAACACGCTTGCTGCGCCATTTTCCCTAACACGGAGATACGTGCGCCTTTTTATCTGTCAGTAAAGTTCCCCGTCAGGTGAGCCCTGCAGATTCCTCCGTGGCCCCCAGCACTGACTCAGCGGAGGAGTCACTTGCTGGCCCACTACGTTGTAGGTCTGCCCGCTGGTCAGCCCGCGTTTTGGGTAAAGGTGTCTGCTATGCGTGGTCCCCACTAGGCGATCCCATATGCTTATTCAGCCACGGTTAAGTCCCCCCCCCCCCTGGGCGGACCCGTGTCTTCCCTCCCCGCTAACCACTCTTTTGCTATGCGTACTCCCCCTTTTTTAGGGCTAGTCCATATGTAAATTCTGCCATCTATCCCCCCTTGGGTAACGGATGGCCTCCGCAGCGTCCTCCCTATCGGGATTGCACGCTTCCCAACGTACTGTCGTATTTCCTAGAATTATCTAGATGCTCACGACACCCCAAAAAATATATATAAATCCGTAAAACTTCTGTTGAAGTAGGATAAATTAGGGCCAGGGACACGTTGGAGGACCGCGCCCCCCATGATGTGGGTGCGTCACGCTTGCTTGACTATCTCCTCATCGGGGGTGTTGGTAAGGTGCAGTCATTATGGCGCTTTCAATGGGCTCCCAATGCGTGGATTTTACAATCAAATCCACTTATAGTGCTGAAGTTCCCCCCGAAGGGGAACGTTCGAGGTTACTAAAGTAACCCTTCGTTCCCCGAGGAGGGGAACGGAAGCACTATACTCCGTCGCCATAATGACTGTCCCTTAGCTGTTGAAAGTCTCTTCAGCTTAAAAAGGATAGCGTCTGCTGCGCCAGGTGAGCTTATATACTCAGTTGATTGCTTATGCCGCTCACCTGCGCAGGCTTGCGCTGCCAATTCATTCTTAATTGGCCCGTTCAATACTCTTTCAGACGAGTAGCTTCTGAACCGAACCTCCCAATGCGTGGATTTTACAATCAAATCCACTTATAGTGCTTCCGTTCCCCTCCTCGGGGAACGAAGGGTTACTTTAGTAACCTCAAACGTTTCTCAGTATGTGCTCTTCAGCGGTCTTCCGTCCTCGTTTAACGTCATCATCAGCTGTTAAAGTTTAGTTCCAATGCTCAAGACCGCAAGAACAGAGGATGCGTGAAACTTCCTGGATGTGTTCGATGCAGACTTGAGCACCAATCTCGCTTGAGAAGTCCCAGAAGTCATTGCGACTGGTGGTGGGAAGTTCAGATATCACTTATTTATCTCAGGAGTTTCCCTAAATGAAACAGCGAATATAAACATCACCATGAACATCTTAATACAGAAATAAACACATTAAGGGTTTTTATTAGCTGAAATTCATATTAAAATCTGCTTATTTGTATTGTGCAAAGTATATTTAAAATGATTTTTATGCATAGTAGATATTTTGAAAGAGGGGAAAACAATAAATGGTTGTATGAATGCTGTAATGTTTAAATAATTTTCCATTTAAAACATGTGAAGGTCATGTGACTATCAGGGAATAGGCAGCATCTCATTTCTCACAGGACACGTTCTCTGTTCTTGCGGCCTCCCGAGTTTGTACTTCCGAGGACACCTGGCAAAACATCCAAAGTGCACAGCGGACAAGGGAGGAGGGCGGTTAAAGAGGGGAATCGGCAAAATCAGGTGCCAGATCAGATTTCAGAGGTGCCGGATCCGGAGTGTTCAAGCAGAAATTAAGCCTGGACTACGGCCTTCTATAACACAAAAACGTGAGAACATGCAAACTCTACACACCAGGCCCAGTCGGCGCTCCAACCAGCGACCTTCTCATGATCAATAAAAAGAGTCTTGTAGTATTAGGAGGAGTTTAGATTAATCAGCAGTGTTTATTCACATCATGCATTCATCCAGATCCATTCAGCATCAAAATGTGAAAATTTAAATACAAACTAATGATAGAGAGATTGAGGGTTAAGAGCTCTGAAAGAGGGAGCAATGGAAAGAGAAGAGCGTTTCAGCATTCACTGCAGTTCATCCAGCACTAACCGACAACACTCCCCGACTTTAGCTGGATCAGAGACCCTGGCGTATTTAGAAATCTGAGAGTTGACCCCCAAAGATCGTGCAAGGTCCTTTGCAGTGCTGTCCCCGGACACTGTGGTCCCCAGTGCCACCAGTAGCCTAAAGACAGCCTCTTTGTCCTGCACCACCTCTAATGCTGTGCTAGCCACTGACAAACACTGCGCCTTGGCCTCGATCTCAGCCGGCTGACCGTACAACCGTCCCGCATAGTTGAGCACCAGGGTGGCAAGCGCTACGTGGATGTTCTTGTTGCAGACGGTGCGGAGATCTCCGGCCCGAGACAGGACGGCATCACGCTGGCCCAACAGGAGAGCCCGGCCGTGGGATGCAGTGAAACAGTTGCAGAGAGTGCGCAGTGCCAACATTTGATTTGCAGCTTTGCCCTCAGGAGACATCAGACCCAGGAGATGGTTGCAAAGACTGGCACCCTCGGTCCCGCCACAGAGATGGGCATTTACTTCTGGATGACGCACAGCCAGGCGCAGGATGTCCAACACTGGGAAGACAATGTCTGAAGAGGGAGACGATGACTGGTTAATTTACTGAACTATACTATTGTAAATATTGCATTGAGTTTTCTACTGAACTAAAGTATATTTGCCTGTCATCGAGGCGGTAGATACTGTATAATTACGTTACATGAAAATTACTATAGTAAATACTATAGTGTTTGGAAGCATACTATATTTAATTACTTGAATTAAACTGTCATAGTTGTTATTGTTGCCGCTTGTTGCTGTGTTTGTTGTTGTCGTACACACAACTGTAGTAGTAAAAAAAATTCAGCAGGTTTCAGTTTTTTTATGCTATTATTATAACATCACCAATGCACCACAGTTTACACTAACGTTACCGTACTTAATACAGTTTATCAGTTTACTATAGTACTGTATTCTGTAGCTTTCATAAACAAAGAGTTGTACACATTATACAATTTACTATGTGGTTCAAAAACATGTTTAATCTTAATTACTATAGTATTTTCCCCATGCGCATATCTTCCAGACATCACAAAATAACAGACAAAAGCATACAAAATCATGGACGCATAGTCTACATTATTATTTATTTATTTTTGTAAGGGAGAACAGTTCTCCGCTATAATATCCGTCTAGTTTTGTCGCAAGGTTTGCATTTCTTTTTTGTTCTGTCGATGAACTTAAGTTACCATCAACAAACATTTTCCGCTGCTGCGTATCTCGATGTTCGCGTTACGGATGTTTATTCTGCCAAAATGGCAGTGAAGACTTGGATTTTTGCAAAACAAGACATTTTCCTGGATTTTGTATAAGTGTGGTGGTGTTTGTATCTGACTTTGATATAACACATTACCATATTTATACACATAGCTAAGTCTGTATACAATCTTTATTAGTGCTGTCAAACAAATTACCGTGTTCAAAAAAAGTTTGCACACATGGATGTTCTAAATAAATATTTATTACATGCTGCCTTTCCTGGGTTTATAAGTAAACACTTTTGGAGTTCTATAAAAACTGTTGGGCATTTATTTTGGCCGATTTAAACAATAAAAATAACCTTGAACAGAAATATTTTAATGTTCTGATAGCGATTCCTATGTAAAAGAATCACTTGAAACCTCCATCTGAATTTTGCACATCATCAACAACATCATGTGAAAACAAACCATCAACAAGTAAAAAAAATAATTTAAAAAAACTATATAAAAATTGTATATATATATATATATATATATATATATATATATATATATATATATATATATATTAATCCGCGAGTCACATTTGTTCTGAAACGTGGGTTGTGATCAACATACGAAAAATGGATCAACAGTGATCCATTACACCCCTATAATCTCAGGTAAACACTGCGGTGAAGGACAGTGTAACAGTTGAACAGATTATTGGAAAATAAATACTGAAAATAAATCAGGTAGAAGAGGAAGCTGGTGTTAGGCATGTTATATATTGGGGGTAAATTATTATGGGGGCGTACACACCGGATGTGCCTTGCATGAGTAAATCACGATATTCACACATAATTAGACATTTGAACATTTTGAGTTCACTCGCTTCTTTTGCGTGTGCAGTTTGCTTCACAACGGAAATTCAAAATCACTCCAGTTTCATTGCAAAATGGATGACATGAGTTTTGTTGAGAGGGTAGCTGTGCTTTAAGTAATATGGAAGGCTGAAAAACAGCATGGACAGTTAAAGAGACTAGAGCATTCATTTAGTTGTTCAACTAAATAAGATGAAAGACCATCTAAACGCAAGTGGCGTCAGTAGCAGTATGTTAGTGCGGAAACTCTATTGAAAATACTGGGCTAAAATAAATGTTCACATTTTAAAGATATGGCAGAGGAAAATGTAATTTCATGCAGTGCTTCTCGTATGTTCTGAGACCCACTTTATATTGTATATCAACCAGGTAGTGAAGATCAACGTGGCAATTTTGTAATGACACCACAGTTCATCGGAAGCGATGATGATAGCTGACTGAGAATGAAAAGTCTGTGTGCATATAACCCATTCAATCCTGGACTACTTTCTGACTACAAGTCTTTAGTAATCGGGAAGACTTTGATTAACTGTAGGGGAGTTGTACCAATACTTACCAAATACTTATACACCTTTGGTTTGCCCCAGTATTACTTTGCTGAAGATTAGTAATATAGTGAATTATATTTGTTTGTGTAATATCTAGGGATGCAACTAACAATTATTTTAATAATCGATTAATCTGTCAATTATTTTTTCGATTAGTCGGATAAAAAGCATTTCCAACCGGTTATTCAAAAAAGCTCATCCCTGAGCTGTTATAATAATAATAATAATAATAAAATAAAAAAATTAAGTAGTTTTGTCCTGTTTTCAATCTAAATATCTAAATATTTTTAAATCAAGATACACTCTAGACCAGGGGTGGGCAAACTTGATCCTGGAGGGCCAGTGTTCTGCATAGTTTAGCTCCAACCCTATTCAAACAGACCTCCCTATAGAGTTCAAGTGATCTTGAAGACACGGATTAGTTTGTTCAGGTGTGTTTGACTAGTGTTGGAACAAAACTCTGCAGGGATACCGGGCCCTCTAGGATCAAGTTTGCCCATCCCTGCTCTAGACACATGTAATAGCATAAGAAATTGTCTTGTTTTCTGAAAAAAACACACCTCAAAATTAAGTGATTGTTTGCCTAAAACAAGTTAAATTATTAGTGAATTGGGTAAGAATGAGATATATATGAGATATAATCTCAAACAGAGGTTTTACCGGTTCATAAACATGTAAGTGATCATGATCTATTACACGAGATGGTCGTCGACATGTTTACTAGTGGCCGCGCGTTTACCTCGTTCATAAAGAGCAGAACAAGCAGGATTCAGCTCATAAATTCACTTGTTACTCCCCAAATACATACAAGTAAGGGGCTGGGGAACTTAGAGAAGAGTAGATTAAACTTTATAGTTACTTTCACTATGTGTAATGTGTCTCTGAAATAAATAAAACACATCGACAAATTGTATTTGAATGAATTGTTAGACTTCCTTGTGTTTTACAAACTCTAAATGTATTGTTTTACTAGTACATGTTTGTATTCACATGTCTAAAACATAAATTAAGCATTAGGGGGTTCAAGCGCTTCTTAATTGTGATAAAATGACACGTCTTTCTCAGTGGGTTAAGTTGGTTTTGTTTTCAAAAAAAAAAAAAAAAAAAGAAGCACTTTTCCGACGGTCCCTACTGAAAGCTCAGCTCAGGATGAGCTCTCTCTCTCTGGCCCAGCGTCAAACACCGCGCCAAAGCTCAGTTTGATTTTCTTAGTTGCCGGTCTAAAGGTAAACAAGCTAACGCTAACTTGTCATGCTAGTCAAGCTGGATAACGAGTAAAACATCAGCACCAGGGACTTTACGGTCCTCACTTCAAAACGGAACAAAGGTAGGACCCTGCTGTTGAACTCCCTTCCTCCTCATCCCTGTCTATGAGGAGCCGAACTCTGTATCAGTGCATGAGAGAGACCGTGATCACTCTGCTCCGAATTAAAGTGTTTTTTTAATAATCAAACATCCCCGTGTCGCGCAACACAACAAATCGATTATGAAATTCGTTGCCACCGCTTTTATTAATCGATTTTTATCAATTTAATCGATTCGTTGTTGCGGTCCTAGTAATAACATCTTACCTTCTGGCCAGTGGCAAGCCCTCCAGAGAACAGTTATCTGCTCTGCCGTGGGCTGTTCCAGATTAGGGAGTTCTGTAACCAGATTCAACAACTTCTCTAGACAGTCCAGTGCAGCGTCACTCAGCTTATGGTCTGCAGGAGCACTGGTGTTCAGCTCTCGAAGCTTACCTGCACACCACATTAGAGAAGCGTTAGGTGGAACTTAAGACATTATTGTCAGTATGACATACGTTTCACAGATTACCATGCTATTACTGTGTTAATATGGTCTCATGAATAAAAACACAACAAACCTTTTGTCACTTTCAGCTAATTTCCAGCCCAACCAGAAAGTAGCCTTAGATTTTAAAAGCTGGAGCCTAAATGTTTCATCAAGTTTGAGTGGAAAAAAAGTATCACTTACCAAGAATCTGAGCTGTATTTGACTGTTCAAACATGACTCCATCAGTATTGGGGAAAAAGATGTTTGTTGTAGATTTTGGGAGGGAAGGAGAGGAATAGGCACTGCCACCTGGAGAAGATTGACAGGTATGCTAGTTTACATGGCTAATACGTTGCGTGTGATGCTACCCATTTGCATAGTTTGAAGTATTTTACCAGTAAAAGGATCAGCTCCGCCTGAAGGTGCTGTGCCTGTGGATCCTGAGCCAGGAATATACCGACCAGCACCTGGGCAAAGAAACACACAAGATCTTACATAATGTACAACAACCCTTCTGTTCATATGAGCGAACAAGAGCGTTCATAAAGGCTTACCTGTAAAAGGATCAGCACCAAATTGTTGTCCATTGCCTCCTGAACCTGGAATGTACCTCCCTGCACCTGAGAACACAGAAGATACGAAGGAATATATCATCTGGTACTGATTAGCCACATCCACATCATGTCTAAATTTTGAAAGGAGTCACGTTGACAACATCAGTTTTATAAAGTCTTTTTTAAGAGTTCACCTTTAGCTGATCATTGATATTAAACTGTATTTGGCACGATAGAAGGGTGAGAGGGGAGTTTGAGCTTGGGTCGATCTCGAGAACTCCCCCGCTTATAAACGGAAATTATGAATTGCTATTGAGATATACTGCTGACTTGTCTATAGTGCCCATTTGGTTTGGTCAATTCGATTATGTCGCATGTCTTTGGACTGTGGGAGGAAACCGAGGAACCCAGGGGAAACCCACGCGAGCATGGGGGGAACATGTAAACTCAGCACAGAAATGTCGACTGGCCTGGTAAGGACTTGAACCAGTGATGTTCTTGCTGTGAGTCAACTGTGCTAACAAGAGGTGCTTCGATAGATCGGCCGGAGATCAGTATCGGCTGATAATCACATTTCACTACTCGATCGGTTCTCGTTGATCTGGCCGATCTCATGAATTGATCACAAGTGTTTGTTTATGAGTTTTAACAAGCAGAGGAAGGTGCACATGCATGCCCGGGTTATACATCAGCAACGCTACAACACATAAACAATGGTTCCAAATTATGTTGTTAGTCACTTTTCTTACTTTATTTTATCTGTTTTATAATAATAATTCTACTAATAATAATAGTAATAATACATATTATTTAAAGTGCCTTTAAATTTTTATTTTTATTGTAAAGTTGTCTGACCATTACATGTATACAACATCCTTCATTTATTATCTTAGGTAAGGTGAGATCTCAGGGTAATTGTGCTTATGCAATGGCAAAGTCACATAAAACTTGAAAATCAGAATTGGTAATCGGTATCGGCCGGTCACCATGACAAGGAATCGCTTCTCAGTATCGGCTGCAAAAATCCTGGAGCATTCCTAGTGCTAACCACTGGGCCGCCGTGCCGCCCTGTCCAGAAAGGGAGGAGAAGTAAGGGTGGAAGGAGGGATTCTTCAAAATGAAGATGCTGTGGCAAGAATTTCTAGTTATTTATGGTGGTTTAGGCATTGACTGATTGGTGGATCGTGTATTAGCTAATGCTGGACCAGCCGTGGTCAATCATAAGCATGCGCCCCTTACAAAACTAGTTTATAAATAAACACTTTGTTCTGCCTTCCAACGTTTCTTATACATAATATAAATGTACGCTATAAATGCATAATTCTAGCCAACTTGCTCTGTAAGCTCATATTTAATAATGAAAATGTGAACGAAAACAAAAGTTATGAAATGTCTTAATAAATGTAACGAAACAATTATGGGCAATAGATTAATAGATTCAATAGATTGGTTTTTTCAACACTTGACAATTGAAATGAGGCTATGATAAAATCTTACCTCTGATTTATCTTTGGTGAAGACATCTATAGGTGTCATTTAAAAAAGTCATTTAAGAAAGAGGCATGCATTTGTTTATAATTAATTAATTTTAATGCCTTTGTCTAATTTTTCATTATCATAAATTAAAATAACAATGTATGGCAGCGTAGTGGAATCCTAAAAAATAAACTGTTGAATTCTAACCAGTGTAAGGAAGATTTACTTGCGGTCAGGGGCAGACTGGCCCTCTGGCAGACCGGGCAGTTTCCCGCTGGGCTGACGTACTTTATGGGCCGGGCTGATCATTTTCTTATGACCTGATCAGCCCAAAAACACTTAGTAGACTGTCCTGTTTTTCTGCCTAATTAATTGACAATGCTGTTAGCTGTGTTGCTTTGAAAGTTAGATGTTTCTTTTCCGGACAGACCAGCCCATGTGACATAATCTGCAGCCCATTGTTTCTTTTCTTTATTGACATTGAGCTGACCCAATCACAAACTTCCATTTTAGGTTCAGTGTAAGCATGAAATGTCGGTGTGTATTTGTCAAAATATTCGAAAGTCACGCTTGTTTCTGACCCCACGCTTGCATATGGAGAGCAGAAGGGGCGAGCATGCGTTTGCACAGATCAATATATTTCTGTCTATTCAATCTAGTTACCTATCTGTCTATATAATTATACTTTTTTTGTTTACTTTTTATCTGCACCAAGGCCCGCGGCAACTTCCTGCTATGCTGTTTACTTAATCTGTAAGTCTTTATTTTACAAATGATATATATATATATATATATATATATATAGATATATATATATATATATATATATATATATATATATATATATATCATAAAGAACAGTGTGCTTCTAAAGCTCTATGAGGACAATCACATGAGATATCATGACATTGTGTTTTTGATTGTCAGCATGATGTAGGCTTATAGTGACAATAATATTTACACAATTTGGTTATAATGATATTTATACAAGAACAAACTAGTGTGCAACTTAAGCAAAACTAAATTTTTTTTTACATTTAGTTTTGTTGTTTGGGCCCAAACAAATATTTGGTGCATTTTTTAATCATTTAAGTTCATTTGATTGACTATACAATCTTTAATCTATGTTTAATGTTTCGTTGTTGAGTTAAACATTTTTTAAGGGTCTCTGACACTGCTTTTATTGTTTAACTTTATTTTGTTAATCAACATTAACTTTATTTGCAGTTTTTGTTATGTTCATTGTTTAATAAAGACTCCCTCAAAACACACAGGCACACAGTGTGGATTATAATTTAATATAAAAATAAATAATTTTTAAAAAATTTTGATTGGTCAACTTGTATTATTTCCTAAATACTGCTTTTGGCCTTTTATAGAATGGGAGTTGGTAAAGATATTTAAGAGCGTGCAGATTGGTAGCATTTTGATTGAATGTAGTGGGCCACTCTGTCCCAAAATGTTAGGGCCAACTTTTTTGTCCCTGTTGCAGTTGACTTGTTTTACCAATTTTGGTCAGTTTAGAAATTTGCAGTGTAAAAGTGAACCACACCAAGATTTAAAGGCAACATTGTAACACTTTTAATCCTAGTTTCAGAACAAAACAATCACCAGACGTGAAAGCACAATAAAATAGAGCTACATACTAGTAACTTAATCAGTCATGAAGCTTATTGTATTTGGTCCACTATATCAGGGGTACTCAAACTTTTCAGCCCGCAAAACGCGACCCCCACTATGCTCAGAGGTGGTTATAAGCTTACAAATATTGCACACAATGGTGCACACACACCAATAGGAACCATATAAACTTAAGCATATAAGCAACACAAAAAAAGGAAACAATCTTACAACCATATCTATTTTTATAATCATTATTCATTTGTTTAATTTAATATTAACCTCACTTAATGAGAATGATGTTGATATGAAAAGACTATTCTTGGTTTAATTTTGGAGACTTGCAGCCACTAGGAGATCATCCTCCTTGTTCAGTCGTGGCCTTAATTTTGAATGGCATAAAGGTGTCAAAGATTAATATTGTTAAAGTTTGTAAGTTTAAGTTTAGGATTTTTGGAAATCACCAAGCGACCCCCCCCCCCCACCCCTCATTATCTGGCAACCCCAACTTTGAAAACCACTGCACTATATCTTTAAGAAAACATGTACCTAGTATATCCATTGATGGGGATATATTGACACCATCACATACCATTAGAAATCTGGGTGTAATATTTGAGTCGATGCTTATATATATACTGCATCCCACTGTCAGCAGCAAAGACACTGAAACTCTCATTCATGTTGATTAATGATAACATCTCATCTCAACTAATGTAACTCACTTACTACTGAAGTCTGCTAAAACAATTCAGACCTGTTCACACCTAGTATTGAGATCCGCTGTCGTTTCAGAGATGGTCTAAACGCATTTGATCAGACTGCTGTAATAGTGTGAACACACGTGTAATCGAAAAGCCTCTAAACACAGCCCTCTATCCACACACATCATCATTGTGTGAAAATTAAAAGAAATGAAAGAGGCTGCTCTCCTCATCTTTCCCGTTGTCTTACTGATATGTTTGTCCAATGATATGTTTGTCGCATGAGCTTATTTTGTCCCCTGGTTCCAAATAACAAAAACAAACGCCCATACCCAAACATGCACAAGCTTAACCACTTAAATGACGCTGCTATTTGGGGATTTCCGCCTGGATTTTGCCTACCCAAACTTAAAAGCTTCCCAAATCCACATGCAGAGGTGTAAATGCAAAAATTTTGTATCATTTTAAAGAAAATCCTTTGAATTTTCATAAAACACTATTGAAAGTGTTTAAAATAACTGTATATGTCGTCTGTGTTATAATAAACACCTAAAAAAAAAAAAGAGGCGTTTTTTGTATTTTTATAATAAACTCAAATTTGAAAGTGTACCTTTTAGGTTCTGTGTGGTCTAGCGTGCTGTAATTAATTTTGGTGGTTCCTGCACATGTCTGTAATCATAGGAAAAAAGAAAAATGTCTCCACCATAATCTATGCAAAAGTTATTGTGTTCCAACTGATGAGAGGTGCTATAGAAGCCACAGGGACCGTTCCTTGTTTACATATTTCCCTATTCTTTTGTTTGATCAAACATAATTCACTGTTTTTGGACCACAGCAAACATATAAAAGGATTACTTATGCACATCACCTCAAAAACAGAGGAGAAATGGCCCTGAAGGGCACAGCATAAGGTAAGAGATGACAGCTGTCTGTGCTATCTGGGGCTGCTTATTGATCATAAATGTATTGTGTACATTTCTGCGCCATGGAAACACCACAATTCATTCAACTACTGTTTGGCATATGAATATAATTCAGTAAAAAGAATGCTAGAACTGTATGAGCACCGGCAAGAGCTTTTATTTGAGCTATAACTTGTACATGTGTCATATGAAAAAATATGAAAATGAACCAATGTAAAATACCCAGCTCGGGTATCCAAAATACTGTGTATTTAAGTGTAAATAACTTTTATACAGTAGAATAAAAACCAAAGTGATGCATATGTGCATAAAATATATGCACACAGTACCGGGTCCGCAGAGTTTAAGTGGTTAACAACAACACTAATAACTGGTCTCTGATGTAACATTAGTGTGCACCAACGTGCAACTGCAAGATTTACCCTTCCCTCTGATGAAAGTGTCAGGACCTGTCCATAGAATCTCCCCTCGATGAAATCAAGACAAAAGTGGTCGAAAATGGACAGTAGAGACATATTTAAATAGCAGCTGTGAATGCTAATGTTTCTGCTTTGTCAACTTGTGATCAGATCAATAAAAATGCATCTTAAAACCAGGTGTGAACAGGTTACAGTATGTTCAGGCGTGAACCTTAGTTACAGTATGTTCAAATTTCTGCTGTTAAAGTCATTAATCCAGTCAAATCAAATGTGAACACATTACCCCATTGCTCAATAAACAACAACAGCTTTTGTGAGTGGGTTTGACAAACCACACACTCTTCTCTCTATATGCACTGGACACTTAACTAAAACTCCATTATATCACTATTCGAAAGTGTTTGGAGCTCTGCTGGATACCTGTGAAGGGGTCTGCGGCTGAGGCAGGAGCTGCACCCAAAGTGTGGCCTTTTGTGTTTTCGATGATGAAATTAGCCACCTGATCCAGGAACATGGGGCTCAGGTCATTCTTCTGCAGGAAGTTGTGCGCCACCAGCCAGGGATCGTCCGTCACATTGTAAGGCAGTTTCATTGGTGGACCTCCCTCATTCACATCAATGGTGAAGACAAAGTCATACTCCTTTAGAAAGTGAAATCACAAGAGTTACAAAACGACTGCAACTACGGTTAAACCTTAGATTTGGGCAGGGGTCAAACTTAGGCCATGTCCACACGCGTTTCAAGTTTGCCCGGCTTTCATTTAAAAAAAATAAATAAATCACTACATCAAGGGTGTCCACAGGTGTACCAGTAAATATCTGGACATTTTCCGGAACAACTTTACCGGTAAATTCAGATTCACACAGGCAGGGACATTAGAGGAATGTTCAAGTAAAAGACCATTCACACATTCATTCCAAAATACTGGCAAATTCTGACATCATTACCCAGAAATGAGCTTGTATTTGTTATTTGTAAACACAGAAGGGGTCTGGCTGTTGTTGATGGTTTCACTTTTATTAAAGCTTTACTGTTCATGCAGCTGCTTTTGTCCCAGAGACATCAAAAAAAAAAAAAAAAAAAAGTAAACAAACAGTGGTTTATCATAAGCATTTTATCAATATTTTTTACTAAGTTAGCTTTAAAAATGTATATAGAAACATTATCTTGCTAACATCTAATAGCTGAATGTGCCTGGAAAATGGCTTTTATTTTCCTAAATTGCACGGATGTGAATGTGTCTGAATATTCTGATTGGCTGGAGTGGACGTCTCACGTTCTAAATGTGAACAGGCTCTGTCCGGCAATTTTTCTTCTGCATTCACACAGAGCATCGCTCTCAGCCCCGCCCACACTCGTCAGCGCTACCAAGCCGACAAATCACAGAGCTTGCGCTATGCGTCATTGTGACGTGCAGTTACATTTTTTGACAGGTGCACGTCAGCGACACCGACAGCCACGACGAGAGCTATGCGTCCACGCGTAGGCCGCATCGTAGCATACACGTGTGCTTGACGCAGAAGTATAAATCAGCCTTAAGTGTTCACTACAAAAACTACTTATAAAAAAAGAACAGTGACTATTTAATAGCCAAGGTAGTATGCACAATACAACCTAGTATGCACAATACCAACCTCATTTGATATCTCACCTTGCCTTCATACATCACTCTTTTTGAGCTCTGCTGAGAAGAACCACCAACAACATATCCAATCTTCATCCAGCGTCCATCACTCATGCTCCACTGATACGCTTCAACATTAGAGCCCTCCTTTATGAGCCGCGTCTGTCCATCACGATTACCTGCACAATAATAATAATAATAATAATAATAAAAGCACTGTGAGCAAAACTGTTACATCTTATGACTAAAATACAAAATAAGTATCATTTGGTAACAATTAAAGGGATAGTTCACCCAAAATGTACTTACTGTTTACTCACCCTCAAGTGGTTCCAAATCTTTTTAAGCTCTTTTTAACACAAATAAGATATTTTGAAGAAAGCTTAATACTGGTAACCACTGATTCCCCGAGTAAGAAAAACAAATACTAAGGAAGTCAATGGTTAATGGTTTCCAACATTCTTCAGAATATCTTCTTTTGTGTTTAACTCAAACAGGTTTGGAACAAGTAAAGACTGAGTAAATGCTAAACTTGAGCAATATTTTTTACAGCACTTGGCTGGTTAATACAAATACTGTTTAATGGTTGTCAGCTCCTCCTAAACCTTCCTAAGTGATATATATATATATATATATATATATATATATATATATATATATATATATATATATATATATATATATATATAATTATAATTATTATTACTATTACCATATCGCTTTAATTATAGACAAGTATTGAACACGTAATGCTTTTTTCCTGTGAATATTTCTAAAGTACCCGTGGACATGGTATTGAAGCAGATTTTGGTAAAAACCCAAACAACACAAACATCAAAATAAAAATAAAAAATGTTGTCACGAGAAAGTCCTGAACTACTAAAGGTATTTAATACTTTATATCCTGTAAAAGGCTTGTTTGGTGATGGCAGCTTTAAGATGTCTCTTATATGGAGAATGACTCCCATGAATTGCTCAGGTGTGAGTATTTCAGAGTGTAAAAATCTTGATGGTTCTGTGGGTCTCTTCCATCAAATCTGATTTTTATTTTGTATTTTCTATTGGATTCAGCTCAGGAGATTGGTTGGGCCATTCTACAGCTTGATTTTCTTTCTCTAAAAGCATTTGAGAGTCTCCTTGGCTGTTTTTTGGGTCTTGTAGAATACACTAGAATACACAAGACATGTCACTCATATACTTTTGAATGGAGAAAAGTGTAACTGTCAATATGGCGAATGAAGCCCCACCTACTAGCACAGGAGCCAATCATCGATCACTTTATAGCGAATCAAGCCTGCCTTCTAGTACAAGAGCCAATCAGTGATTGCTATATTTAATTTATTTTAAACCTCTTTTCATAGCTAATACAACCTGTATATAATATTTATAGTACATTCATCTGTAAATATGACCATAGTTTTTCTTTAACCGCACTTTATTACTTATTCCTGTATCCTGCATTTGCTGCTATTGCACTGCTGGTTAGACCTAAACTGCATTTCATTGCATTGTACATGTGTAATGGCAATAAAGATGAGTCTAATATAATCTAATCTATAGAATGACAATTCTCTGGGGGAGAGGCCCGAACAAGACGTGAGTTTCTGCAGATTTTGTGTGTTACGAACATTCAGAATTGAAACTAAATAGACAGTTGTTGTTTAATTGTATTAATGATTCCTGTTATCAAATGAAATGTAATCATAAGCTTGGCAAGCAGTTTTAGAGAATTCGATGTTTCCCCATTCAAACAGAATGCCCGAGCCCACAGCCTGTGAGGCGTTTCAAAGGTGGCCGCCAAGTGAAAGCCTTAAATGGACTTTGTCATTATCTTGCTTAAATGTCTACCCTGGTTTCTTCTTCATCATCCTGCTAATGTAGATGTTGAACTGAGGGAGCTGATATTCATTTACACTGAGGAATTGTAAATGTAAAAGTACTCATGTAAAAATACTTGTATAGCCTGTCTGATGTGTATAGTTAAGTATCCTTTATTATAGTTTTTTTTTTTTGATTGCTTTTATTTTCAGTGTTGTGTTTGTATTTATGACTAATTTATGTAATATTATGTACTAATTTATGAATGACATTTCATTCATCTGCATGTCCACACATAACGCAGAATGACAATAATAGATGACTTGACTTGACTTGACTTAAACGGAAAAGGGCTGCTTTCTAACTACCAAGAGATTTCCGCTACTGTCTGGGCTTTCACTGCCTTTCCACAGCTCCTTTTCTTCATGTGTTCAATACCAGTCTCATTTCATTTCCTTATGCGGAACTTAATTTGTAAACTAATTAGATTTGTTTTCTTTGCATATATGCATTTCTTTAGTTGTTTTCAACATCTGGTGAAAATGTTAAGCCAACAGCCCCTTTAAAAAGATGTTTTCTGAGAAAAATGATGACGTGTTGTGTTGAACACTAATTACCCCCACTGTATTTATAAAATTGTGAACTAAATTTAAAAAAAATAAAAAAGAGTAACTACATAAAAAAAAGTAAATGACACTACAACAAAAATGATAGTACAACAAAAGAAACATTATAACACTAAACATTCTTGAACACACTGCTGACCTGGTTCATCAAGGTGCTCTCTGCCAGGTAACTCCTCTATCTTGATGTCCCCCAAATCTCCAGTCTTGGGGTCGATGACTGCTTTAGAAAGCTCGTCCTCAAACGCCTGCAGGTCCTGTGCACTGGCTACACGGTCTTCGCTCTCAGTGAACACGCGGATAATGCCGTCGCTTCAGAGATGTGAAAAGGTCAGTCTCCTACGGGCTAATAAATTAGTTTAAACAGCAGTAACATGCATTACCTGGCGCCCACAGCAATGTCTCCATTAGGCAGAATGCAGCAGCACCACACCGACTGAGCGGGAAGACGAATAGTCTGACTACATTCACCCTCCTTCCAGACCCGCAGTGTCCTGTCCTCTCCTGTGCTGATAAAGTCTATGATATGATTTAAAAAAAAAAAAAGGTATAATGGGTAAGGTAATGTAACAAATTTTTATTAGGTTAACATACGCAAGTAATAGGTTTTGTGTGTTGTTTGATTTGTAAAGCACTTTGGTCAACATTTGTTTTATTTAAATGTGCTATATAAATAAATTAATTAAATAACAGAAAATTAATACGTAATACGTGATGTGATTAAGATTTTAAAATGAACATCTAACAAGAGTCAAGAAATTAAAGGAATAGTACACCAAAAAATTAAAATTCTGTCATTATCTTTTACTCTCCCATCCAAACACGAGTTTCTCTCATATGGTAAACACAAAAGAAGATATTCTGACGAATGCTGAAAAGCATAAGTAGCCATAAACCTTCATAGTATGATACTATAAATGTCAATGGCTACTGGTTTCCAACATTCTTCAAAATATATTCTTTTTAGTTTAACAGAAAAAAAAAAAAAAAAAAAAAATATATATATATATATATATATATATATATATATATATATATATTGAGGGCGAGTAGCTTTTAATTTTCAGTTGATATTTCGCTTTAACATAATATTATATTATATTTTATTGATGCAAATAATTAAGCTTGGTGTCATTTTAAAGAAGATATGTCAGATTGTATCTTAAATTAAATAGGTTAAACAAGTTAAAGAAAACTAACTGTATGTGAATAAGTCTATGGAAATATTAAAATGTTACATTTATAGTTTATTAAATTACATAAAATATGTATTTTACAAAACCTGTTTTAGCCCAAATCTGGCATAAAATCAGGGCTGAATATCTGAACAAATTCTATTCCAAATTTAAAGCTTTCAGTGAGGTTTAGTTTGGCCGCAGTACCAAACATGACCACTGATAGACACACAGTTTCTATTGATGACCATATGAGGGTGTCCTCTATTTCTGTGTATGCTTTGAGAAGTAGAAACCATATTTTGTCATACTTTTGACAACATTTGTAAACTAGGCTTGAAAATTCTGAGTAGTGTGGCAGTTTGGTGGCGTTTAAAATCAATGTAGCCTCTAAAAAACACCAAAACCTTTTTTACATTTGGATTGCTGTAGCAAACTAATGCTTTAAGATACTGATGAGTATCCTTGCTGCAAATTAATAAATAACAAATAACTGTTGCTCAGTAATATCTTTCAAAATTCAGCCACCACTTTCGGAGGTTAGAAAATATAAGCTTTCAAATGATATAAAGATTGTTATGATTGCTTTATGTTGAGACTATAATAGTATGCTTTAAATATGAAACCGCAAACAGTCCAACAGGTTGAAGGGAGACAGTAAATTACTTTAATCTTTCTCTTTCTAAATAATAAAAAAAACTAAAGTAAAATATGTATTTAAAAGATTTAAACCTTTCCAATGATATACAGTTTGTCATGATTAGATTAATCACATTATAGTGAAGTAAACAAAAGTGTCCTCCTACTGAGACAGTAAAGGGGTTATCCAATTGTTTCATTTACTATGAATGTATTTTTTATTTTGCTCACATGGCTAAGAATAGAATCCAATAATACATTGATGATCATAATTTTGAGGATCTTCATAACAAACATTTTTTTTTAAGTATAATTAATTATAATTATATAACCACAGGGTTCCCACACTTTCATGAACAGCAGATTCAAGGACAAATAAAGGACTTATAAATTTTAAATCAAGCAGCTTTGTTATTAATACCCCAGCATACGTAGCTCCTTAAAAGTATGTGCTGTACTTAACATTTCACTTACACTTAATATTTACATTAAAAATGTCATAATCATTTTCAACTATTCTGACCATTTTAAAAAGTCATGTATAAAAACCTTTAATAAAATTAGTTGAGTTCAATACTGGTGATATTTAAGTGCGGTTTCTGAAATATTGATAAAATGTCCATTATCTGTCAGTGTTACTCTCGGATTTCATTCCGTTTTTGACAATTGAGTACAATTGTTGAAATTAAACCACAAACAAATTTAATTTAAGTGTTAAATTTGAGCACTTTTAATGACCTGTGTTTGTTTTTAAGTACTTTCCAGGTCTTGAATCCATACAGTATGTCTGAAATTCATGTACTTTTAAGTACTTTAAAGTAGCATGGGAGCCCTGAATTAGTTTCCAGGTCAAATTTTGACCCTTAATCCTAAACACAGTATATACAAGAATCAAGGAGTGAAATTTATTAAGACCTTTTTAAGACTCTTTCCATACATTTTAAGACCTTATAACCACTTTAGGCTTTAACCAGAAACACTGGTGTGATTTTAACTTACAGTATATTTACTGAATATTGATGTAAGAAATTAATTCAATTATAAAAATCAGAATAAAAATCTATTAAATCTAGCTAATTCAGCAGGTTGGTGCCTATAAAACTGCGGAAATAATGGTGATGCATTAGCCCCTTTCACACATACAGACCTTTCCGGAAAATTACCGGCAATTTTCCGGAAAGGTTGTATGTGTGAACAGGTCCTTTTTGAAAATACCGGTAAATTCGTTCTGGCTATTTTCCGGAAAGAGAAGTTGTAACATTACCGGCAATTTGCCGGAATGCTGCGCTGTGTGAACGCAGAAGGAATATTTCCGGAATAAGCGCGTGCACGTCTAGAACGTGCTGACGTAAGACTTCTGCTTTAGCCAATCACAACAGTCAGACGCATTTACGTCCGCGCGGTTTGTGAGAATAAAAGCCTTTGAATATTTTTCCAGACGCATTTAGCTGCTAGAAGTTAGTCAGATAACGTTTATATGTTCTCCTTAATGCCAACTGTGCAAATAATCATCGATAAGATGCTTATGATAAGCCGTTGTTTGTTTACCTTCAAGCTTTGCGTGTGCCCATGAAACAGCCTGTGAGCGGCAGCACACGCACATATTATGAACATCTCGACATGCGAATATGATCCAGTGAAAGTTGTTTACAATATTGATCATCAAAAGAGTTTGTAATTTAGTCAAATGTTTACAAATACAAGCGCAGCCGTTTAAAGCTCATTTGTGGTGAATGATGTCAGAATTTACCGGTATTTTGGAATGGATGTGTGAATGCTCTTTTCCGGAAAATTTCCGTAACGTCCTCGCCTGTGTGAACAGCGCTTTTTTGAACATACCGGTAAAGTCGTTCCGTAAATTTTCCGGATATTTTCCGGTATCACTGTGTGAAAGGGGCTATTGATCACTGAAGTAAATAAAGCAGCAAGATGTCAAATCTAGCAGGATTGATTTCATAAACTACAAAGCATCCTGAGATTCACAGATTTAATTCAGGCAAACTTTAACATACAGCCATTCACAGCATAATCAAAAAAGATACCAAGTTTAATACTTCACAAAAAAGGCATTTAAAACTTTTTAAGGGCCTTAAATTTCTTTACATTAATTTTTAAGACTCCGCAGACTCCTAGCAAAAGAAGTTACCTTAATGCAAACTTTTCTGACCCTGTACCAAAATAATGCAGAACAAAAGACACAAGCACCTTTTCCGTTAGGGAAGACGGCGATGCTGTAGATGTAGTTAGTGTGACCGTAGTAAACCTGCACGCATTCACCCGTCACCATCCACCGCCTGATACTGGCATCATTACTGCAGGAGAAGAACTCCACATCATTTATGACCGCCAGTCCTCGCACACAATCCTCATGACCTGCAGGACACACACACACACACACACACACACACACACACACACACACACACACACACACACTTCAATTATCTCACACACTATTTCACCATTGCAACAAATAGTGACCCCTGCTGGAGGCCCATTCTACATGTGTTTAGTTCTAGCTTAGTATTTAAACATTGAGCTTTCAGATGTACCAGTGTAGGTCTTCTCGCAGCGACCAGCTTTCCATAACTTGATGGTTTTGTCAGCTGACCCAGACAGCATCAAGCCCTGCTCTGGTAAAATGAGCACGGCCCAAACAGCCGCGGTGTGTCCCTGTGGAGCAGCAATTACAGAAGAAAGCAGTCAGCACTTACTCGCATACTGCAATACATTGCATATCTGACATCGCTCTTAAAGAGATAGAGCTGCATTATTTACGCGAAAGATACTCAGTAGCACGCTGCTTGAATAATGCATTCTAAATGGTCTTTAGAGCAATATTTACACCCTGTACTTGACCTTATAACACATTTAATAAATTATTTAAAAAATATGAGTCACACTTTACAATAGGCTTCGTTAGTTATTGTATTTACTGATATTAACTAATCATGAACTTGTACAGCATTTATTGATCACAATTCAACATTGACTAATGTATTATTAAAATTCAAATTTTATGCTTGTTAACATTAGTCAATGCACTGTGATTTCCGTAAACTAATGTGGGTATAATAATTTATATAGTCTAGTTCCAAATTAGCAATAATCTATATATACCTGAAAAGTTATATTGTTTTGTTTTTTAGGGTGTGTCAGACCTTAAAATCTCTTGGTTTCCTTAGCCCTGATTGTCTTGAAAGTAATGCAAATTGTCAGTTTCACAGGTTCTGTCTCCAGAACACCATTTGCACACTGTTTTCATGCTAAAACGCATCGCGAATGGGTACTTATATGCTGATGAGATCGGGGCTGGAAAGGCAATTTACCCTGACGACAACAACACTTCATTTGCATGCTTTGTTTTAGACTGTCCGCACCTACATGTATCAATGTCTATAATAATGTATTTAAACTGAGTGTCTGCTATACAAAGTCCAGAGTTACAACTATTATGTAATAAAAATGTATAACAGTAATTAATAAATTATTATACAGGAAAACTTCACTTTACTTAATTCACAATAGCCTCAGATTGTGCTTGTTTGTCTTAAAAGATGCATGTATGATTGCATAACAGTATCAGTTGAATACAGTATCATCATTATTATGATGTATATTATGATTATATATATATATATATATATATATATATATATATATATATATATATATATATATATCCCAGTCATATTCATTCATTCAATCATTTTTTTGGCTTAGTCCCTTTATTAATCTGGGGTCGCCACAGTGGAGTGAACCTCCAGCTTATCCAGTGTATGTTTTTCCCATCACTGAGAAACATCCATACACACTCATTCACACTAGGGATGAGAAGATTAACCGATATGTATCGATACGCGGTCATGAGCGTGCACGATGCTAGTGCATCGGTAGAGCAGCAGAGGATGAATGAAATTTTGGAAGCAAATCGAGATTCATCGGTTTTTGCGAATGCATCAGTTTTTCCAAGATACAGCTTATATTTTTAATATAGAATGTATTTTTTATTTATTAACAAGTGTTGTCAACCTGTTTTTGGTGCATAATTTACTCGACCTACATAAAGTAAGCATTAGCAACGGGCTTGCGGATGTGTACACTTACACTACAACTCAGTGTATCAGGTGTGCGGATGAAGCAAGTAGTGCGCCCTCAGAAAGCGCGAGAAGCAAAACAAACATTTTATTTCTCACTGAGTTCTAAATCTAAAGTATGGCAACATTATGGATTTAAGGATGGACGACTTGACAGGACAGATGCAATTTGCAAAATGTGCCGCGCATCTGTAAAATACACGGGCAGTACGACTAATCTGATTTTTCACTTGAAGCGGCACCACGGTGTTGTTGTGGAAGCATCTTCCAGTGTTTCTGCATCCCCGGCTTCCTGCTCTGCTTCAACTGTAGCTACCAGCTTCAATAATGGTGAGAAAAGCATTGAAAGTTTTCCCCATGCGCAACAGTTCTGCTGGCTCTACGCCAATAACGAATGCTATTGCATTGTTCATCTGCAAAGATATTCAGCCTAGTGTCACGGAGAACGAAGGTTTTAAACACCTCCTCCTGTTAATTTTTATTTATTTATATTTTTATTAGCCTGTTGTTTACAGTGACAGTGATGTTTCAAAGCAGCATAACACTGCTAGTTCACCACCTTAAGTTTTGAATATTCAGTGGCACAATATATCTTTGTAAAACTTGCTTTCATAGTTGAAAATTTAAATCACAATTCTTGTTGTGCAATGGTAAACCTTTATGTTGAAAGAGTGCAAATATATACATTTATAATATATATTGCACTTATACATTCTGTTTATCTTGAAAATACTTAAATAATATGTGCTATAGGTTCTAAAATGGCCCTCTACTGTAAACTGACACTCTGGCTCTGAGAGAAAAGCCAGTTTGTAAAAAAAGTCTTGGTTTTACTTGGTTAATAAATAATCAAGCTCAATCAATGGCACAGCATCTTTTCTTACATCATCTCATAAACTTGATCTAATAAGTTAGTGCTGAATTATCGCATTGTATCGTGATATGGGTGTAAATCGTATGGTGTTGCATCGCAATGTCACAAATCTATCGCTAATATATCGGATTGTATTCTTTGTATCGAGATGCGTATCGGATCGGCATTAGAGCTTAGATGCCCAACCCTAATTCACACACATCCACTACGAAAGATTTAGCTTACCCAATTCACACATATTTTTGGACTTGAGGGGGGAAACCAGAGCACTCAAAGAAAACTCACGCAACATGGGGAGTCAATAGCCATACATCTTGTTATATTTAACATTATTAATACCAATAATTATAATTATTATTATTATTAGTAGGGATGCTCATAGTAATTAGCGGGATGCATTTTTTACAGGTTTTTGCACAATGATCACTCCTCAACCAATTGCATGCTTTAATGCAAATTAATGCAATACTATTTGTAAAGAACTAAATTATTATATGCTATAGTAGCTTATACATTAAAAAGAAGTCAACATATGTGCCTTGTTGTTGTCTCATCACATGCAGCGTGCACATAAACCTTGAAAGATGGCGAAACTGAAAACACAGAAGCTCCGAGGTTAAATCAGATGCTCAAGACAGAATCTTAAAATTAATGACATATCTTGAAAATGTTAACAGACGTTTCTGATATAAGAATAACAGCGGAGCAATTGATTTCAGGTCATGCCTGCTATTTTTATTTGACGGAAGAAAAAATACATGAATAGAAAAAACTGCCTATGCTGGTTCTTAAGAATTATTCAGTCGTTGTTTTGGTTTTGTAATCTACATTTGTAATTTAGTTGAAGATATATAAGGCAGGCTTATTTATTTTATCATTTTTATTTAGTTTGTTCTGTTTTTCTATGCTGTTGGAAACACTGCTGGTGCGTGAAGATGCTCTGTTGTTAATATTTTTGCTGTTGTTTGCATGTTAAAATAAGTGTTTTAAAATGCTATATTTAATGCATCAGACACAAAATAGACATGTTTACTATTAGACAAAATACATTTTTTATTAAATGATAACTTAATATTAGGGGGCGTCACGGATAACTTGATCGCCTCACAGCAAGAAGGTCGCTAGGTCAGTTGGCATTTTTGTGTGGAGTTTGCATGTTCTCCCCGTGTTGGCGTTGGATTCCTCCAGGTGTTTCAGTTTCCCCCACAAGTCCAAAAACAGGCGGTACAGTTGAATTGGGTAGGCTAAATTGTCCATAGTGTATGAGTGTGAATGAGTATGTACGAATGTTTTCCAGTGATGGGTTGCAGCCAGAAGTCATCCACTGTGTAAAGCATATGCTGGAAAAGTTGGCGGTTCATTCCGCTGTGGTGACCCCTGATTAATAACAGGAATAAGCCCAAAAAAATATGAATAAATGAATTTAATGTAATCTGACCAGTTATTGGTTAATATTCGGTTAACGAGAAGCAGTTTTCGGTTGGAAAAATTTACCGAAATGAGCATCCTTGATTATTATTGGTAGTAGTATTTATTTATTTTCATTTATTACATTTTTTTTATTTCAAGTCATCTCTTTAACTTATTTATTTATTTATTTATTATTTACATTCAGTCATTTAGTAGACGCTTTTATCCAAAGCAACTTACAAATGAGGACAAGGAAGCAATTTACACAACTATAAGAGCAACAATGAATAAATGCTATAGGCAAGTTTCAGGTCTGTAAAGTCTAAGAAGGAAAGCATTAGTAATTTTTTTTTTTTTGAGTACAGTTAGTGGTATATCCAGAGAGGCAATTGCAGATTAGGAAGTGAAGTGGAGACTAAATAGTTGAGTTTTTAGTTGTTTCTTGAAAACAGCGAGTGACTGCCGTTCTGATGCAGTTAGGGAGTTCATTCCACCAACCGGGCAGATTGAACGTGAGCGTTCGGCAAAGTGATTTCTCCCCTTTTTGGGATAGAACCACAATTATTAACAACAATAATAACAATTGTAAAACTGTGTACAAGATGTAATTTAACTTTAGCAGAAAAAACACCAAGGAGAATGAAAGCTTCTCTTTCATTGACAACAGCTGGCTTATACATAAAACTCAAGGGAAACAGTTGGCATGTTGCATTCTCAAATGCAAAACAAATCTAAGAGCACAGAGTTGTGTTTTGAGAATCTGACACACTGAAACCACTAAATCATGATCAGCTTGTGTAAAAGAACACAATGCTGTCCTTCACTCTCAAAACACATAAAACATAATTTAATCTAATTAAATTGTGTCCTTAAAATTGACACCAAGCCAAATTGCAATTCAAGTTTTACTTAAATTATTCGTGCTGCCCTGCTGTTGCGATACTAAGAATCGTGTCACTTTACCTGTAAAGTCATCATGCACTTCTCTCCAAGCCACACTTTGGCTGTAGTGTCCCATGAGCCGCTCAATATTGTGCCAAACTTGCCAGCAGAGAGTGTGCAGACTGTAAACACACACAGAAATCAGCCATTGAAAGATAATCTGCATGTGTTTACACCACTGTAATAATAATAATAATAGACAGTACCTGTGTTTTTATGACCCTTGAGGGTAAACAGGGGGTCTGGTCGGTCCAGTGAAAACACGCAGATGTTGTTGTCGTGTCCTCCGGTGGCGATGAGTCCTCGTGGATACGTTTCATTAGGAGAGATGATACACACACATGACACGAAGTTTGAGTGGCCGTTCATACAGTGCATCTCTGTAAAACTCTGGTTTTCACTGCACAAGAAAAAAAATAGAGGAGTTTAAAAGGCAATGTTAGAAGTAGGGCTGCACAATATATCATTTGTGCTTCGATATTGCAATGTGTGCGTTTGCAAAAGTCACATTGCAAGACGTGCAATGTTGAGTTAGGATTAAAGATGATCAGAAACCACAAGTCAAAACACACCTGATTTGTGGAGACACTGCAGAACTGAACAGTTATAGAGTGAAAGTTTATCATCTGCATGTTTTAGGTCATGTGACTGTGTGAGCATTTAAAGAGAGTTTAAAGCATTTTTGTAGTGCACAAAAAAGTTTCATAAAGATTATTTTTATTAAATTATTTGGTGAAGACTATACAGTGCAATTTTACGTTTGATTATTCAATTTCTGTACCTGAATACTGTTGCTCACTCCAGAAAACTATAAAGCATTGTTTATTTCACTTTAATATTAGCTCAGTTGTGTTTATTTATGACTGTATTTTTTGTATATAATAGATTACAAATATATATATATATATATATATATATATATATATATATATATATATATATATATATATATATATACATGTTTATCACTCCCCTACAAAATCATACCAAGTAATGACTTTGCAAATAGAGCTATTTAAGTCATCTGGTGAAATAAGATCACAATATATATGGCAGAGAATTTTTTTTACAATGTTTCCAATATCATGCAGCCCTAATCAGAAGTGTGTCATTTTTAAAAGCAAAACAACATTTTTTTATTTTATAATTTTCTGTATGTAAGCCCACCGGTCCTACACCGCCCAACCCACTCAGAGCTGGGATCGAACCAGCGACCTCCCGCATGGGAGTCGGTTGCTCTAACAAGGAGGCTAAAAAACATGGCCTCTAGCGTCTGTCGCTAGAGCACCTTTAGAGGTCAGAGGAGTGAGGTTTACCTGCACAGCACAACACACACTAGCTGGCCTCCGTTACACTCACCCCCAAACCTCAATCCCATACGGGTCACGGCACCAACGTAACCCAGAGGTCAGAGGAGTGAGGTCAGGAGTGAGGTTTACCTGCACAGCACTCACTAGCTGGCCTCCGATACATGTATACATCCTGTTCAAAAGTATTTTATATTTCTAAACTAAGCCTCTTACGCTTAGCGATTACTCAATCAAAAATACAGTAAAAAGTTATACAGTGCTGTCAGATATTGTTAAAATTTAAAATAGCTGTTTTCAGTTTTAATAATATACTTATAACGTTTCCCAGCATGGTACTAGATTGTGGCTGGATAAAACCATATGTGTAGTTGAAAAACGATTACCGTTTTGAAGGTATACCGCCGTTTGGAAGAGGCAAGGTCCTATACAAACATTTATTTACATTTTTTAAATTTTAGGTCAACAGTGTCTCCAGCAGAAAAGATATTAAAAGATGTTGTTTAAAATTGTAATGAATCTGTGTGTTAGAAACACATGAAGACAGCAGAAGTCAAAGATTCAGTTGAATTATTTAGCTTGACATGTTTACTGCTCCAAAATACTTTAAATGTTTCTCAAAATAAAAGATATTGTGTTCAAAGAGAAAAAAAGTTTTAGTATTTTACCCAGACAATAAAAAAAAGAATATATTTTACAGCAGCAATCAACTGTAATACTGCTATCCAAAGTTATCATACCATCAGAATCTTACACCAGCCCATGGCTAGGTGGTTTATTCCACTGTGGCGACCGGCCCTGATAAATCAGAAACTAAGCTGAAGGAAAATGAATGAATGATACGAATAATTGTGAAAATATCATTTATTTCGGTAAAAATTGAGAAAATGTTGAAAATTTATTCCTCATTTTTTTCTTATTATATTTTGGAAAATATTCTTATGATTAATATTTCTGTGGAAACTATAATTTAGGGAATAAAAGCAGTCATTTAAAATAACTAATTCTTTATACAATACATACATTGTTCATTTGAACCAATATAATGCACTTTTGCCGAATAAAATCACCAAATATTTTCTTAATTTGGATTTTAATTTGCTACATACACCTTTTTAAACCATTGATTCTAAATTAATGTTGGTTTAAACGTTATCTTCATTTTAACGCAGTTATTTATGCCTTTGTGTTTCTAAATGTAACCTACATTCTCTAAGTAAACAGCAACGCTCAGCTCTAATGCACTGGCACAGTCTGGCAGTGATGGATACCAATAAATAAGTAATAAAGCTTCACATAAAAAGAACGGAACTCAATTTATGACGTTAGAGAATTATAAAAACATAGTTTTCACACAAAATGTGTTAACAGTGCTTGACTCTTCTGTGGAGCACAAAAGGCAGAATGACTCTCAGTGTTCATTCAGTTTCATTGTTTGTTAAAAGAAGTAAATGGTAACGATGTCAAAACAGTTCCACGGATAGAAGGGAACATACAGTTTGATAACAACAAGAAGAATGCGAGTAAATCATTTCATTTTAATTTTGGATATACCGTTACTATTGCTTTAACGCTCATTAGTGGAGTGTTTTAGATCCGTCACTGTCAGGAAATGATAGCCTTTTAGTTTCGTCTCAGATGAAAGTGAATGATAGTGTGCTTAATATACCAACGTACGGTACAGCTAAACAACTCTGTAAACTACGAACCAAACGGCTTAGTATACGACAAAAACAAATGTAAAGCCGGTGTGAGACACAACAGGAGGAAGCTGGAGCTGGAGTACCTTGGGTTTGGTACCCACACCCGCGCGGTCCGGTCTCTGGACACCGACACGAACGCTCCGTCCGGGAAGGCGACAGCGGCAAGACCCCGGACATCCATGTCGTGCGCCGGGAGAGAAGAGCGCAGTCTGTATGAGTTACTGCCGGACATTTTTACAGCTGAGAGACGGCGATCACTACACACACTGACACAGCAACACTACACACATACACAATGCATGACGGGACAACACCGGGCAAAATAAAAGCCGCACTATCAATTATAACACTGACATGATCATATGAAATACTTCTATTTTTATGAGTACAATATCATACTTCTGTAAATATTCATTAACATTATAATAACCCTAATTTTGCGCTTGAAGTATGCATAATATATTTTAGTTAAGAACAGACTTTAAACTTTTTATTTCTAACGTGAACTTCACCCCGGAACAACTTGAGTGTGTTTGCGTCCTCGAGTGAGGTGAAACTGTCAAAATCATGTCCAGTTCTAAGAGGATAACGCTCATATTTGGAGGCTTCGTTGCAGCTGTTGCTGCAGCTTTTTATCCTATATTTTTTCATCCTCTCACACACTCTGAAGACTACAGTAAGTGTTTAATATCACTACTACACATGAAGTCACCGTGACACAGCCTAAACTTAACTTATGTCATAACGTCACATTCGATTACCCTGCATTTTGTAACTTATTAATCGTATTGGAATAATATATTTGGTGACATAGATTGGGATTAACGTTAGGCATGGGAAAATAACTGTTAACGGTTTTCAAGGTATAGCGCGGTTTGCAAAAGTTAAGATTTTAAAATTGTCAACATTTTCTTATATAACTTACCGTTTCTAAGGTATGTGTACGATTTTTTATTTACATTTCTTTTTTATGACAACAGTATCTCCAGCAGAAACGATATCCAACGATGTCATTTTAAATGGTTAAAAAGTTAGTGTTTTTAAATCAATTGAAGACCACATAAGTCAATGATTCATTTGAATTATTTAGCCTCACATGTTAACTGTTCTAAACAATTTTAACTGTTTCTCCAAATAAAATATATTGTGTTTAAAGTGGGGGAAAATGTTTTATTTTTACCCAGATATTTAAAAAAAAATACATTTTAGATCAGTAATCACAATACCATATACAGTATTACCGTAGAACCGTGAAACTGTCATATTTTATTCAAGGTTATCATACTGTCAGAATCTTATCTTATAAATTTATTTTCATCTAATAAAGCTGTTAAAGTCTCAATCAAAATAATTCATAATTGCCATCCAATAAATACCAAAACTAGCTAAATATAATAACAATATTTTCCCTTTATGCATTTTGTACTCAATATAATGAAACACTAAATAATTTATTTTGGGAGTGCACTTCCTGTCAAGTGTTTTGGGTTGACTTTTTCGATTTCATTAAAAAAAATCTTATTTCCAAATTTCTGTATTTCCCCAAAATGTTTTTCTTTGGTTACTTTCTGAATGTAGATCCTTCTCTTTGTAAATTTATTATTAATTTATTGCTTTTTTTGGCTAAATTTTACATTCATAAATGTAAATAAAAAAAAAAACATCCTTACTTTTTATTTTCAGAAAGGACTATTATATTACATGTAAAACTCTTTTAAACTTGTTTATTTTGCTGGAATTTTAGTCATGTAACCCTTTTTGTTTCTTTGTTCATACTGTATCTTTGTATTGTTCTTTCTTGTATGATAAAAAAGAACTTTAAAAATACATTTAAAAAACGTATTATTGGGATAATCAGGTTGAACAGTCGTTATAATCTGATGTAAATTATAGAAATAATATTTCAGTGTTTTAAGGAATGTACACATATTATGATGCTGATTTTATTCTACGTTGAATTACATACAATGCAGAGCTCTCTTGAATGAGACATGTTGTATGTATATTAGGTTAGGTTACTTATACCCAAAGGTAGATTTGGTTTGCAGTCAAGAGTCCTCATTTCATAGCAGTGCCACACTAAAAAACTCACATAGTGACAACAACAAATAGACATAAAACATAAACGTACAAAACGTACACTCTTTAAAAAAAAAAAAAAAAAAGAATAAATAAATAATTATTTCAAGAGCCAAAATCACTCTGGACCCCTCACACCCAGCACACTGCCTCTTTGAATTTTTACCTTCTGGTCGACGCTACCGAGCACTGTGCACCAGAACAGCCCAACACAATAACAGATTCTTCCCTCAGGCAATCCATCTCATAATTATGAAAAGAAAAAACATCACTACTTGCTATAGCTATACACTTTTAATCCACATATACACTTATTTAGCAACATACTTTACATGCCAATTTACACATAACAGCTGCACATATAACGTATATAATAATACACATGTACACACACTTGTCAATTTGTATATTTGCATTCACTTTCTACTTCTATTTTTAAAATACATTTTTTTATCTGTTTTTTTGTCCTGTCTTTGTAATTCTGTTGCACTGTAGAAAGCTCTGTCAGGAAAGCACGTGTGAACACACCTGGCAGTAAAGCTTTTTCTGATTCTGATATACAAGTATCGTTTACTTCTACAGCTTGTTACAAGAAACCAACGACTAGATGGAAGGAGCTGAAACTCTGAGTGTAGGGGATTTTTATTATGTGTTAAGTTAACTTAATTGATTTGTGTTGGGAATTGCGTGGATTCCAGCATTTTGCATTTTTTTACAGTGCAGTTTTTCAGTGTATCTGCGGAGTCTTAAAAAGTCTTAAATTTCTAAAACAAAATTGAAGGCCTTAAAAAGTCATATTCACTGGAATATTGTGTTGTAGGTCTTAAATCATTTTAAACTGATCTTAATTTTCCTCTGTCCAATTAAAGCTACACAATCGGGCAAACATCCATCCAATCACCAACAATCCATCTTAATAAAATCAAGGAAAGAGAACTAAAAACCATTACACAGTTCCTCATGATAATAACAGAGTAATATATCCCTTTCCTTTCCCAGGGATGGGTTGCAGCTGGAAGGTCATCCACTGCGTGAAACAGGTGCTGGATAAGTTGGTGGTTGATTTCGCTGTGGAGATCCCAGATAATAAAAAGACTGAGCCGAAAGAAAATGAATGAATATATCCCTTAACATTATCTTCCATTCATACAAAAACTCTTTACAGAAGTAAGGGGGAGTAGACATAATATTTATAAATAGGCATTAAACTTAAAGTTTTTATGAACAGAAACACATTAGGTTGAATAGAAGTTAATACTCAATCAATTTAGACCAAAGGCCAACAAATATATAGTTTGGTTATTTATGGAATTGCCTCCACAATAAATATACTTTTAACAATGTTAAACTTGTCATTAAAAATAAATAAATATTATGTTGAAAATAGTGAATACAACTAGAGTCTTCCTGTTTTAACACAGTAAAGTGTGTCGCTAAGAAATAATTACAAGCAAAAACAAAAATCTATTATCCCAACTGGGCCATTAGAAATCATCATTAGTGTTTAGCGCTGTATAAGTCTTAAGTTTCATTCGTAATGGTTTTAAAGGGCCCTTTAAAAGTCTTAAATTTGACTTGATGACACCTGCAGAAACCCTGAATTAAAATTCTTTGTATTCTTCTTTTTTTGGTGTCTGAATTTTTCTCTCTCTTGATACAGAGCAAGTGCAGAAGGTGAACCGGGCTGGAGTCAATCAAGCAGACATACAGCCTGTTGGTAAGACATTCATAAACACTCTTTATTTCATATTTTTTATTGCATTAGGGGCTTCGCAATATATCATTTCCATATCGATATTGCAATGTGTGAATCAGCAATAGTCACATCACTGCATCTCAAGCCATTTCAATTGAATTTCAACCACTTGAACGCAAAATTACAATGTTTATAACAGGCATGTCCAAACTCGGTCCTGAAGGGCCGGTGTCCTGCAAAGTTTAGTTCCAACCCCAATCAGACACACCTGGGCTAGCTAATCAAGCTCTTAAGCTGCGGTCACACTGGACTTTTCTTCCCATAGTCTTCCATTCATACGCACGCGAATGCATCAGACCGGAAACGCAGGGTCATGCGTTAAGTTTCGCAGTTCGCTGCGGTGCAGTTCTAGCTTAGTGAATTCTGACCTGCAAAATTGCATCACTTGTCTGTGTGAAACCAATCGAGAAACAAAACATGACCTCTCTGGACAGAAATTTAAAACATGGAGAAATCGCTCGCTTTTTTTAATGTCTAATAATCTTGTTTAGTCCCACCCCCTTTTCGCAGTGCCGTACGACAGAATTTCACACATACAAACGTTGCGTCCGAAACCGCCTACTACTCAATAGGTACTGCATTTGAACTTAAACGTACTACTCGGTCGTTAGTAAAGTATGTTTTATACAGTATGAATGTGAAAAGTATGAATGGAATTCAAACATACTACATCCGCCATTTTGACCCAGTCACGTGAAGTACCTGTGTCATTTGCGTTGCTTTAATCCCATTCATGAATTCGCTCGCGGGGCATCATGGGATAGCGCAGCATGCATACGATTCGCACTCCAGAATCTCGCCGGAAGTAGTAAGTCATCCGGGTACTTCTCGCATACTGCTCTTCGAATTCTATGAATTCACACATACTACTCGGCTCGCATACTGATTTTAGCATACTGTATAGTATGGAAGTATGCGGTTTCGGACTCAGAGTGACCGCAGCTTTACTAGGCTTTCTAGAAACATCATGCAGGTGTGTTGAAGCAAGTTGAAGCTAAAATCTGCAGGATACCGGCCCTCCAGGACCAAGTTTGGACACCCCTGATTTGCCACTTTATCAATCATTAGTTGTATAATTATTTATATTTATGCAATGGTTTATTTTTCATTTGATTATTGATATTGTGTACCTCAATACTGTTAGACTTGACTGAAAACCATAAAGCACTGTTTATGTAATTTTATCTCAGTTCTATTGTTTTCGTTTAATTTTTTTTTCGTATACTTTTTTAAAAATAATTTAGAAAATGTTATGCTAATGCACCCCCCGACAAAATCATCCGAATCAATGTAAAATGACGACTTCTTTCCAAATAGAGCAAGAAAAATATTGTAATGTCAGTTTTTTTCCAATATCGTGGACTTGTATTGCATTGTTAGTGTGAGGGTGCAAACTTGCACATTACACTTCACTTTAGATTAGATTAGATTCAACTTTATTATCATTACAAATGTAGACTACAGAGCAATGAAATGCAGGTAGGCATCTAACCAGAATGCAAATATAAGCAGTAAGTGCAGCAAAGACCAATAATACATACAGATGGTACAATATAGAGATAGCATTATGGATATGAATAAGGTGGGTTGACACAAGCATGGAAAGATATAATATATATTTGTATAAAATATACATGGATGTTTTACTATGGGCAAAGTATACAGTTTAAATTAGGCAATAGATGTATGTACACTATAGCAGTAAAACTATGAACATATTTTAAAGATGGATAAGATTTTTTCCATTCACTCTTGTCAATTGGTGAAGTATGTTCCTCCACTGTTGCCACTAGCTTGCTTGGTTTGGGACCTGTGGAACTGCGCATCAATGAATTTGCTCTTCAGTGTTTGGACTTTCAGCAGTGAAAATGAAACCCCAATGAACTGAACTAAACTGAACTTCAGCTCTGAAAACTGGACTGACACAGTTTCAGTTTACTAGAACTTCTATGTTAAGCTTCTTTGACACAATCTACATTGTAAAAGCGCTATAGAAAGAAACATGAATTGAATTGATTAGATCTAAAATTGTGTAAAGTTGCATGTAATCTGTGATGTGAAGCTATAAGTAGCTTTATTAAGGATCCTAAATTACTAGTTCTGCATACACAGTTAATTTGCATTAGGCCCTATATGAATGATTTTTCAAACACACAGGTTCATTCTATGACTCACAATCATTTATGTGTCTTTTATATTAGGTGTGAAGGTCTGGTCTGATCCCTACAAGCCCAAATCATGACTCCTGTGATTAACTTATGGATGAAAAGGACGAATGCGTCCCTCATGGAGGACTGAGTATTCGAGACACACTGACAAAACTCTTTGCTACCATGCATCAAATAAGACCTTATGTATGGGTGAATATTCCTTACTTGTGGGAATGATTAATGAGAACGACTTGTCAACAAACTAAAAATGTAAAGCATTTAAAAAATATGATAATTGACTTTTTGTTTGTACTCATTCAGGTTTATTTATGGAGTAACTTTGTTTTGCCGTTATTGTTCTGAATAAAATCAAATCTTAAACTGTTGTAATTGTTTTGCAAGTATATGATCACTAGATGGCGCTCAGTCCATCTTGTATGCTACGAGATTCTGCTTATATACTGAAGCACACTGGGAAAGAAAAACATTAGATCAACTTAAATTGCTTCAAACATTACTTGTTTGTCCTAAAAAGAATTATGTTTTCAACTTAATTTATTACAGATTTCAATAAATTAAGATGAACTTTTTTTTTTATTGTTCACACTATAATAAGGTTTTATTATTCACTGTTTGTGTATGTACTAACATGAACTAATCATGAACAATACTTGTCCAGCATTTATAAATCATTTTGCATCATTTACTATGCATTATTAAAATACAATTTTATGCTTGTTAACATTAGTTAATGCACTGTGAGTTAACATGAACTAACAATGAACGACTTACGATTAACTTTTAACGAACATGAACAAACACTGTAATACATATTTTGTTCATTGTTCATGTTAGTAAAATCATTAACTAATCTAACCTTATTGTAAAGTGTTACCTTTTTTTAAAGTGTAGCAAGAAGTGTTTAAAGTAACATAAAAATTCAGTCCAAGGCACTCGAAAAATGTGGAAAAAATTATTAAAAATCATCATCTTTTGTTTTTCACTATAGTATTCTAAAGAAACTTCAGACACACCTGATCACAGTCACCCTGATGAAGGCAGTTGTTTGCTAAAACGCGTATTTGCAGTTTTAAGGATTAGCAATGTTAATAATGGCTTTTTAAAAAAATGTCCACATTTTTGAGTGCCCTGGATTGATTTTCGCAGTTTATTCTGATGAATTTCTTACCCAAAGAGCACCGACACACTATTTAAGCTACCCCTGAGCACTTTTGTTTGATTTTGGATTTTTAATGTTTGAAGTAATTTAAGTTGATCCAATGTTTTTTCCTCCAGTGTGCTTAAAGTTTTCTTTGTTTCAATTCATTCAGACCTTTAGTCATTCATTCATAAATGCCATCGCAGGATCAAAACTCTGTATAATTCGTCATAGTTTTCATGCACATTTTAATATTCTACACAAAATCAAAAACCTCAAATCTAATACTAAAGCTCTTGTTTGCTTTTATTATTGCTATTTGCACACAGGAGTGTTGTGTTCTCTCTGTTATAATAATCATTCCCACTCAACTGTTCTTTTGTAATATTTGTGTTGCTCTTGTGCCTGATTGGACTTCTTGTGCTATATTGGCACTGAGAGCTGGACGAGTCCTTTGGCCCTCAAAAGTTGCAAAATGTGTAACTTGAGAGCCAGAACCCTGTGCCAACCAACACCTGTTGTCATGGTAACGGGCCTGTGCCAGCACCTGTGCATCGACCAGGCTCAAGGCTCTGTACCTTTTCTACAGCCCTGTGTGTGTGAAAGAGAGAGAGAGAGAGAGAGAGAGGGAGGTAGACTGTCCAGGCAATGAAGGCAATCTTCAACACTTCCATACAGGCCACACAGTTTCGAGTTTATACATTTGTCATTCAACGTTTGAAGTAACTGACAAAAGTTCAATTTATTTGATCAATAATGCAGGAAAAAAAGAACTGTAAATGATTATTACACTTTAAAGTTTATATTACACACACACACACACACACACACACACACACACACACTCACACACACACACACACACACATGTATATAAAGTTATTTTATATATATATATATATATATATATATATATATATATATATATATATATATATATATATATATATATATATAATGGTATTGACGAAATTAAAAAATTCATGTCTATGTATGTATGTGTATATATATATATATATATATATATATATATATATATATATATATATATATATATTAGGGGTGGGCGGTACACCGGTGTCATAGTCATCACCGGTGTGACATTGCGGCACGACATGGATTTTTTTATTCCGTCAATACCGTAATAATTCAATTAATCAATTATATGTGCCTGAAATTTAAGCTATGTGACCTCATAATATATTTGGAAGCATCTGTGTGACTGCATATAATGGTTGTAGTGCGACCTGTTTTGTTTTTTTTCTAAAAATGTGCTGAATCGCTCTTCCCTGCCGCTATATTGGTTCATATTAGCTGTCAATCACTCAAGACTTTACGTTGTCAGATGACAGAGAGCTTTTGTGACTGCCGGGAATGTAAACGGCGGAAGAGTGTCAAGTACACAGGTTTGCAAACCTAGTTCTAATATTAACAATAAAGGCGCAGATGAGAGCGATCATGCCCAAAACCGGCGCGTCCATAGAGGCGACCCAGGCAGCCGCGGTTTAAGAGTGGCAGAAGTGAGACTTCTTACTTTCTTTTGTCATTCTTTCTTGAGATGTGTATTATTTTGCTATTTTGTTACTGATGACTGCTTTGCAGCTCTCAGCCTTGAATTGAATGATTTATTATAGTCGTTTGTTTAGTAATATCATTTATTAAATTGACATGCATATAAAAACAATAGTGCAAAATAAATATTTCTTCATTTTTTAATGCAAACCATACATTTATTTTTCATAAAGTAACAGACTTTTTAATGCAGATAACTCACATTCAAGGCAGCATGATAATGAGAAATGTAATTCATTTAGTTTTATTGTCATTTCCTCAGCCTTAGTTAGTTGTTTCTGGTTTTGTTAGTCCTAATTGATGTTGTTTTAAAACACAACAAATCCCTGAAAATACAATTTCCAGTGGTGCTCATTCTTTTTTGTATGGTGCTCCTAAATTTTTAAAGTTGGGAGTTTGTGTTACCAAGTAAAAAAGTTATTTCAAGCCCTGTTACTATATATCTTGTTGTAAATAAAAAAGTAAAACATTCTTATCAGCTTTGCCAATTGTAGGTAAAAGGGAAGTGGCCATTAAACGACTAGTGAAACATTGTGAAGAAATGTCGGGCCTTAAGCCTATACTATCTGAAAAGAAATGAGTGGAGTGTCAGAACCAGACGGAGAGACAGAGGCCGCTGTTGAGGAAACTGCAGCAGGGCACTGACATGGAGCTAGATGGCTACCTGCTAATGGTAACGGTTGACAGTGACTCTGATCCACTGGAGTGGTGGCGTCTCCAATGTTCCCACTTCCCGCGCATTAGACGTCTGGCAAAAAAAATACTTAAGCACCCCAGCCACAAGCTCACCCTCCGAGTGTGCATTCAGCATAGGGGGCAATATTGTAACAAGCTGCAGGGCATCACTGAAGCCAAAAAAATGTTGACAGGGTGTTCCTGGCAAAGAACTTGAATGTCTAGTTTCATCAGAGTTCAGATGAGTTAGTTTTTGTGAAAATTACACATTATTACACTGTCCTTGTGTTATTCCACTGCTAATTTTTGTTTTGTTGTACACTGTTAAGTAAGACTTTAGGTTTTTGGCAAAATAAATATGTTGAGAATGCATAATACTCTCCCATCTTTTTTTTTTTTTTTTTAGATACCTACCATTTACTTATATTATAAAAATATTAACTTTATTCACATACTAAAGTGACAGGACAGGTTACTCCTCCCAAAATGTACCAAAAAAAAAGCTTATTATACCATGATATTATTATTATTTTTAATGCTTTTTTGTGTAAATTAATATACTACTATTCAAACAAATGTATGTACAGTTGAAGTCAGAATTATTAGCCCCCTAAATTATTAGCTCCCCTGTTTATTTTTTCCCCAATTTCTGTTTAACGGAGAGAAGATTTTTTTAACACATTTTTAAATATAAGTTCAATAAAATAAAATCATTACTTATGACCTTAAAATGGTGTTTAAACAATTTAAAACTGCTTGCATTCCCATCGAAATAAAACAAATAAGATTATTAGAAATATATTTATTTAAAAAATATTATCAGACATACTGTGAAAAGTTCCTTGCTCTGTTAAACATCGTTAAATATCAGGTGGGCTAATAATTCTGTCTTCAACTATATATATTTTTACATTTTTTTATTTTTATATGTTATTGAATTAAAATGTAATGTCTTTAAATCAGAGAACACTACCCCACAAAATAAGGGTGTCCAATGATGGGTTAATTAGTGTTTAGTCTCAAAAAAGAATAAAATAATTAAGCATCAATAATACTATATAATATCTGAACACCAAATCTGCATTTTAGAATGATTTAAACACTTGTTTTACGTTAACGTTTAACATTACCATTTTAACATTAACATAATCAAACATGATTAGCTAGTTTAGCTATTCTAAACTGTAATCCCAGCAGGAACACAATGTCACAAGTTGATATTAGGTTAGATTTAGGTTGTGATGTCAGGTGACCAAAATTCAATGTCTAAACAGCGTCTAAGGGCAACGTTATTGTCACATCCAATAACAAAGTTGAACAATGTTAATATTTGGTTGATTTGAGGTTGTGTTAAAAAATCAAATACAGATATAAAATAATGACATTTGTTCTTCAGGTATGGTAACCAAAATTTTAAGTTCTGATAAACGTCATAGGTAATGTCCACACAATGTCAAGCTAAAACATCATTAGACGTTAATATTTGGTTGATTTTTATGTTGTGTTGGAAAGTGACCAAAATCCAACGTCGAGCTAACATCTTAAACCAATGCCACGTTGACGTCAAATACTGACATTATTTTTTCAGGTATGGCAACCTAAATCCAACATCTGATAGACGTCATTGATAACATCCACAAAACATCAAGCTGTAACATCATTAGATGTTGATATTTGGTTGATTTTAGGTTGTGTTGGAAAGTAACCAAAATCCAACGTCGAGGCAACATCCTAAACTAATATCATATTCATGTCAATTACTGACATTAATTCATCAGGTATGGCAACCTAAATCCAACATCTGATAGATGACAGTGGTAACGCCACACACCATCAAGCTGTTACATAATTAAACGTTGATATTTAGTTGATTTTAGGTTGTGTTGGAAAGTGACTAGTATCCAACGTCGAGCCAACATCTTACGCCAACGTCATATTGATGTCAAATACTGACATTTATTTATCAGCTATGGCAACAAAAATC